TAAAGTTGATTGATGCATGCTCCAAGAAACGTAGTTAGATTAGCTAGTAACAAACAATAAGGATATATTTAGAACTCAAAACATTTTAAAGATAAGGAGATTAGTGCTTGCATTGGAATTAAATTAAAACTTAAGCAGCGTTGTGAATCCTTAGAATATATGAATTAAAAGTTTATTTGACCAATTTTGGCAAACACCTATTTCTTATATATCGAAATTGAGATATATATAAGAAATAGTTTTTCAAGATGTCTACTAACTATAGTTTTTGCCTTCAACGAAATAATTTTCGTCGTGAAAATTTGATTGTGTTCATTGGGTTCTCACATTTGGAGAGAACTCAATATTGGGTTCTCCTACCACATCAATAGGTGGACAGTCTTATTCTCCCTACCGTTGGCAGGAGAACATTTCCACTAAATAATATATAAACACTTGTGACTAAAGCTAGCATATACTTGAAAGATACAGGAAGTTATAATCATTCCATTAAGCAGCTTAAAGATCAGCATAATATATAGTTGTCCTAAAACCAGCAAGGGAACTGTTGCAAAATACTTGTTCAAGCTTCCTAAATTATAGATATGTTACATACATTGTTAAAAAATAAATTGCACCATGCATAATAAACTGTTATATATCGTGCAAATGGAAATCAAGTCACACAGCTTGTTGCATTCGATACAACATCTACATATGTTTTTATCTATTAGAAGAAGGGTCTGTTTGGTTGCAAATGTGGAAAATGGGTGTAAAGAAAATGAATTTTAGGGAATTGAATTATCTAGAAATTGTTTTAATGGGAATTGTAATTAATTGTGTTTGATTGGTATAATTTTCCACCTGGAAAATGTTGAAAGTTTGGTGTCCGTTTGACTTTATTTTTCATGAAAATTGTCGATTAAAGTGATAATTTATTTTACCATTGAGTCTAGAATTTGTTTCACTTACCAAAAAAATATTTTAAAAAAAAATTACCATACCGAATATCATTCGTTTGGCTTGTTTTGCATGAAAATTGTTAATAAAAGT